TTAATTATTTTATTAATTATTATTAATTAATGATTATAATTATTAATTATTTTATTAATTATTATTAATTAATGATTATAATTATTAATTATTTTTATTAATTGTCAATAATCTAACTAATTCAGTGGTAATTTCCTTTCACTAAAAATAAGAGATCCTAAGTTTGAGTCATATAGTATGCGGATGCAGTGAGATAAGAAATGAGAGAAAGTTATCTCTCGTTATACAACTAATATAAAAAATTATTTTTATTAATTAAGTTCAATAAAATTAGTATTTTGAAGATAATATTTACAATTTTTGAACTATACCTTTATTATTAGTGGCTATAATAGTGTCCCTATCAAACCTCTTGTCAATAAATCTTATAATATTGCGTGAAATAATATCATTGACATTATATTTAGATATAATGTAGAAATAACATTTATTTACTCATTTTAATATCATATAACTGATGTAAATATCGATTCATATTTTTCAAAATATATTTTAAGTTTGGGTTCCCCAATGAGACCATTTTTTGTCCTTTTTTTACTCAACCCACTCCATGCTTGCGGGGCCGTGTAATTAAAGTCATTGTCTATTTGTACTATAATCAATGGAATTATTCTTGAAATCTTCATTTGTCCGGACATGGGAAACAGACTCCTTTATTTTTTTCACACCATGAAGAATTCACCGGAATAAATCCAGCTATGCTGCGACTTGTTTCTCGTCTTTCTCCCCAGTGAATGATATGACAGATTCGACTGCAATGCCGCAAATTGTGAAGAATATAAGGACAATTATTAAGTTTCATCTATTATTGATAGTGATTAATTTTAGGTTAAAACCCTTTTTTGGTCCCTGAACTATTGTACGGACCTCCGATTTGGTCCCTAAACTAAAAAAATCCCTGATTTGATCCCTACTGTTTACCATTTTTACCCCAATTTGGTCATTCCGTTAAAAACTGTGTGACGTGGTCTGTTACTTCACGGTTACCAGATGACATGTCATAGAGCAATCCACGTGGAAGACCAAAAAGTGATGATGTGGAAAAAATAATAATATAAAAAAATATTATGAAAAATAAAACTTAAATTTTTTTTTTCTTTTTTCTTTTTTCCTTTTTTCTTTCTCCTTCCCCTTTTCCTTTCTCTTTCTCCTTCCCCTTTCTCTTCTCTTTCCCCTCGGAACCCAACAGGCCTGGGTTCTTTCGAACCCACCCAGGCGCTGGGTTCGTAAGGAACCGAACCTAGCACGCTTGCCTGGGTTCGATGGAACCCAACACGCTTGGGTTCGCGTCTGGTGTTGGGTTCGCGTCTGGTGCTGGGTTCGCGTCTGGGTTCACACCGAACCCAGCATGCCTGGGTTTGGTGGAACCCAGCACGCTTGGGTTCGGTTCCTTGCGAACCCAGGCGCAGGGTTCGCAAGGAACCCAAGCGTGCTGGGTTCACGTTTGGGTTCCTACAAACCCAGCACGCTTGGGTTCCTTGTGAACCCAGGTGCAAAAAATTTAAAAAAAAAATATTTCTGTGTTTGTTTTTTGGATTTTGTTGTTTGATTGTGATGAAAAAATTGATTGATGAAGATGAAGAAGGCATTACTGCAGGTGTTAGGTGTTGGGGTTCGATGCTGGGTTCGATTTTTCAATTTCGAATGCTAGGTTTTTGCAGGTGTTGGGTTCGTTTGCAGGTGCTGGGTTCGAAATCGAACCCAGCAGGAGGTGGGTTTGAGCAGCTGCTGAGTTCTTGCAAGTGAGGCTTTGGGTTTCGTTTTGAACCCAGTAGCCCTTGGGTCAAATATCTATTGAGTTTAATCTGTTGATTTGTTGTGTTATCCTCGAATTTAATATTAGGAATTAGGGTTTGCAGAAGAAGGTTAAAGGAAAGAGAGAGGAAGAACAAAGGGAAAAAGGAAAAACAAACGAAGAAAAAAAAAAGGAATAAGAAATTTTTTAAGATTTTTTTCTTGCCATCTCATTTTTTTTACACTGTACATCCTAGGTGTCAAAAAGTTTTAACAGGTCATCGTTTTCCTCGTCAAGTAACGGGACACGTAGGTTGATATTTGATGGAAGGACCAAATCGGGGTAAAAATAGTAAACAGTAGGGACCAAATCAGGGATTTTTTTAGTTCAGGGACCAAATCGGGAGTCCGTACAATAGTTCAGGGACCAAAAAGGGGTTTAAACCTTAATTTTATTGTTAAGTTTGAATCACTTAAATTAAGATTTTTAAATTAATTACTATTAATTTAACTAAATTCTTATATGTAAAAAAATAATTATTTCTCATCTAATTTGTACATACTAATAAAATTGAATTTTATACAATTTAACCCACGTCTTGTATTATTACTGTATAAATTGCTTTGAAGGATTAGTCCCCAAGAAATCGTGTCTTCCAACGAGAAGAGATAAAAAATTTCACTTGCTTGTTTTCCATTATGAAATTGGAACATTCTAAGGTTTTAAAATTATGAAAATTTAATGTGAAAGGAATAGAGCATGTGCCTAACTTTTTTTCAATGTTTGTCCCTCTTTAAAGAACATTCTAACCATAAATAAAAATGAAAATCTCCTTTAGCCCACCTTATGTCCATATACCCCTTGTCTGTCCTGCATCACATCCCCTTGTTGACATTCTAGAAAGAAGAAAAATGAGGATCAGAGAAAAATAAGAACACTAAAACTGTTGGGTAAGAAGCAAGGTAAGATGACACAACTTTTACAACATATACCAAAATCCCATGAGGGTAATGGCAAAATAATTAAAAGGATTCTCTATTGCCGCTCTCTTTCCAACCATTTTAGTTGTGTCTGTGTGTACCATTTTACATTTTTTAGTATGAGAGGTAATGATCTTTTTCCATGCATACTAAGAGAACTAACCTTGGCCTCATTGGGGATTATATAATCTAGTCTCATTTTTTATTTTTATTTTTTTCTACAATCTTGTCATTGTGAATTAAGCCTGATATCTATAAGACAATGAAATTAGTTCTTCACAAATATACACACTATTATTCAATTGACATAATTAGTTATCAGTTTCTAAAATTATTTCCTCAAGTAATTGAATTAACCCCCATTTGGGGTATTGATTAGAAATTTATAATATTTAACATTATTTGTCTTCATCAGTTCCTCCAGAAAATGACAATTCTTTTCAAAAAAGAACGTTGCCCTTTATCGGGACTCATTGGTAGGTAAGGTTGCAGACTTCATATCTAGTTGGTTTTCTTGTTTGTCAGTCCATTTGTTAACCATTGTGTGAAGTTGCTTTTGCTTTCATTTACTCATTCAACCTTTCTAGACATTTGTTTAGATACACTCTGACAAAAAAAAAAAGAAGTAAAAATGGTACTAATGGAATGATATTTCATGCATTTGGTTTATTTGTATTTGCACCTTATGAAATTTATCATTTATGGATGGTTGTTGGGATATTTTCTGTTCTGACCTTATTGGCATGGTAGGAGTGCCCTTACGCAGTTATGCAAGTCTGAAGTCAATACCTACCCAAATCAGTTATTTTACACATTTTCTGTTTCTTTACTGTTGGCTTGGGTAAAGCCATCTTCCTACATTTGCAAAGAGTTAAATGTGAATTCTAGTTTTTATTTTTTTAATATTTTTAGTTTTTAAATTATTTGTAGTGTTGTTTTGATCTTTTAATTCTAAAATTTACTTTTTATTCCATTAATTAGGTGATGGAGTACCCCTTAATTTAAACTAAAATGACATTTTTTTTGATAATGTGACAATAATTTGTCATTAAATTAGTTTATGTGGATTCATGGTGCCAAAAATGTTTACGGCATGGAAGAAGTTTGAGGAAGAAGAAGATTTTTGTGATATTTTTTGTCATTTTTTAAGTTTTAGTATTTTAAATTATAAAAAAAATTAATTAATGGATAGTTTTTAGTTTTTAATTTATTATTTTATCTATTGGAGTTAATACTGCCAATATGGACGTACGTAATATATTTATCGAACTAAATTAAAAGGCTTATTTATAATGAATATATTATAAACAAATTTTAAAAAAATAATTAAAATTAGTTAACAATTACACCATCACTTAATTGGTAATAAAATAAAAAAATATTATAATATGTAGAATTGAGGGGGGCAAATAAGTGCTAAAAATAATTTAAGATCTAAAAATATTTAAAATATAAAGTTTAAAGAGTAAAATTCACATTTACTCTTTCAAAAAAAGTAAAGCATCCCCCCGCAGACAATATTCAAACAAGGGAAAATAAACATGGCTTTGCAGTCAAATGCCAATACTAATAAAAGTCCACGGAAGTCCCCACTTACCTACTATATTGGTATAATTGAACTTTTATATATATTTATTATATTTATTATTTATATAATAAAATTTTTAATAATAAAAATGAAAAAATAAAAATTAAATAAAACATATAAACTAAATAAATAACACATGTAACAATAGTCTCTTATATTCAACTTTTTCTTTCTCTAAATTAAATATATAAATATATTCTTGCAAGTTAATCACTACTTATTAAATTAAATATTAAGTATATATCAAATTAAAAAATTATATCTAAAAACATTTAAATATCAAATATAATTCATAAGCAACCCACAATCAAGAATACTCAACCCTATCCGGATGAACGCCGTATGATGACTTTCAAGACCAATAGTACTAATTCAAGTCCATGGAAGGCCCACGTCATAAGTCCCACGACAGGCGCAATTCTGAATTCACATTCTAATACGATTCCAAGTCCAAGGAAGACCGACCTAATATTCTGGGTAAGAACTTTTAGGTACAAATGAGTTATGAGAGATTCATCAGAATAAACCACTCGTGCTGCTAGTTCTTTCTCATCTTTCCCCCAAATGGAAGATACAAGATATTCAGCTATAGTGCCACAGATTGTGAAGATTGTAAAGATGGTTGTTAAGTTTCATCCATTACTGATAATAACCAGTCTTATGTGCCGAATAATATTTCTGCAAGATTGGATTGAAGAGAAGGTGAGCAATAAATGGAAAGCACTCAAGGTGTATTACGAATCAACAATGAGAGCTCTGTTGGCTCCAATTACTGAGAAAATGAAGAATCTATCAGAAGCCCTCCAGATGCATCTCAACCAAGAAGCAGAAAAGGGTCAACCAAAGGCCAAATTGATAGGTAAAATTGCCTTACTCTTTGCCACATTTCTTTTACTGGATACAGAGGTCAGTTCAAAATATGATAAAAGAGGGATTAAAGTGCTGTTATTGTTGATCATTGGACTTAAGTTGCTAAGACTTTCGAAGCGTTGGAGTCAACTCGAAATTCTCCAAAGGTGCGGTTGCTTTGCAAATTCAGCATCAAATTTCACCTTCTTTATTCTAGCACTTGTTTTTGCAAAATTTTATGATAATTCCTTGAGGGGCCTTAGTTCCATGTTGTTCATTGCAATTTATTTACTGTCTCTACTGGTGGTATTACAACCACGAACGGACTTGGGATTGTTTAGTTTCATCATTGGAGTCATTGGATCCATTACTTATAACCTCTTCAAATTCACATCTCCCACATGGATAATTGCCTCCATCTGTTTTCTATTGCTCAATTTCAAGAGTTGGTTAGATAAGTACTGGTTGGATTTGAAAGAAGACCAATCACTGACCTCTACAAATACCACGGCTAGAAGCAATAGTGTGTTTTTGATTCTATCATCAATTGCTATACATATTGTTGAAGCCATCTTCTCATTTTTTGTTGTTAAATCTCTCCTGTCCAACTATAAAGTTTGGTGTACTAGGGTAATTAGTAGTGTGATTTGGAGTGTCCGGGACTATAAAAAAGATACCTCACTACCCTCTACAAATACCAAAGGAATCAGCAATTTGATTTTGACCATTGTAAATGTTGCACAAGGCATATTTGTGTTTTCTCTTTCATTTCCCATAGGGGATTATAAATACTGGTTATTTGTAGTAATTAGTTATGTGGTTTTTTATTTTTGGTTAAGAAGCTTTTGCCCCAAAGATATGTCAGTACCCTCTACAAATACTAAACGAATTAGCAGCATGATTTGGTATTCGCAATCTGTTGCTGCATATGGTATTATGGTGTTGGCTGGTTTTGAACCCCGCTTGTACTACAGAAAATGGTTGATTATGGTAACCTGTTATGTGCTTTGGTGGGTTCAATTACGCTCACCCGTCACAATTGAATCTAAAGTTCTACTGTGGTGGCAAATGGTGGTATATTCAATGATTGCAGAGATTACAGAGGTCATATATTGGATATTCCAAGTGTCTACAATGCATTAACAACTAGAATGAAAATCTTGCATGCCAAGTAGTAAGCACTTGGATACATGGAAATTTTTATGTTAATTCCTGTGTCATTCTCTTTTTCAAGATATGTTTATATTTCCAGTATCCTTATTAAAATAGATCAATCATCTATAATTTTTCAGTGATTTATGTCAGTGGTTTATGTTTTGTTAGTTTGAATTTATTTTAGTTGGCCTTTTGTTATATAGAATAATAGATATCAAATGGCAACCCTTGATCTTATATATTTTAAGAAGAATGGTTGATTACCATCTAATTCATACATACCATAATAAATTTGAATTCTATGCAAATTAATCCACATGTCTTACATTATGACTGTGTAAGTTGTTTTGAAAGATTAATCTTAGGGACACAGTATCTTCTTATGGAGAGGAAATCAAATTTAACTTGCTTGTGCTCCATTATGAAGAAATTGGAATGACTTCATGATTTTATTATTTCTCAAACCCCACGAACTGGCTGGATTTTACCATCTACAAGATCTATTAGTTGGATGGTCAATTGGTTTTACTTTCTTTTAATCATTCAATCTATGGTCTCCACATTTGTGGATCCTTGAATTTTGCTTTGATGAAACCCTTAATTGAAGACTAACAACAAAAATTTACATTGTTACAGACTTACCTTGTTCTTCTTCACAGTGGATTTTTGTTATGAGTTTTTTCAACGGATTAGAGTGGACTAGGAGAGCAAGAGAAGAGTAGGATTAGAACGTGAAAACATTCTCCTAATCGTAGAGGAGATGTTATCCAACTCAGTTTTTTCATTAGTCTTTACTGTAGTAGAAACTACGACATAAATCGCCCTTTTCTACACCTAATAACAAAAAAAAAAAAAAAACTCTTGTAAATGAACTCAACTCCTTTTCTTTTAACCTTTTCATGGAACAACATCAAATACCAAACAAAAGTACGTTAGATGTACACTTGACATGAATTTGACATTCCACTCGGTGTTGAAACTGTTATATGTGGTGCATCAAACATGCACTACTCTTTGACAAGTGAATATAATCGATTATGCAGTATAAGATACGTAAGATATCATTTTCTTGAAAACTATTCAACACTACCAAGATGATATGAATTTAACTTAAGTTGAATCAGTCAATTAATTGAATAGAATTCAACTACTTAATCAAAAAGAATTTTTTAAGTAAAAGAAACTATGAATGAAATGGAATTACGGTTTAGATTTTATTTAATTTTGAATTACGCAATTATTTAGTTAATCTAATCCAAATTCAAATAACAATGTTATCACACAAGATGACGAAATTTTCTCAATTAATTAACTAGTTTTCTCAAGTTAAGTTAATCATTTTCCTACTAATTAAATTAATCATATCTTTATGTAATTTAAAATAAATTGATGACTATTAAACTTTATATAAACCTCTAACTTAAGAAGGGGACACTAATTACCTTTTAATTTCATAGTCTAACACATGGTTTATATTATTATTGGCTTAATTTAAGCCATTCTTTCTTCAGTTTATGCATAAATCACTAAATTAATTAAAAGGTGACGAAGCTTTCAATGCATTAACTTTAACAACATAAACTATGATGCAAATAACTAATAGGTCTTAAATTAAACTAAAATCAATCACACAATTCAAGAATTAAAATCCAACCCTACTTCATGAAATTTAGCCACATATAATTAACTTTCAGCTAAGTAATATTGAAAAATTAGTAAGTAGGAATGAGAAAACTAGTCCCCTAAGAATAAAAGCAAGGCCAAAATGCTACTTGGACTTTTCTTCCTCAATTGCGTGTTGTTTTTGCTATGGACTCCACTATCTGTGGATTTCTCAAAGTAGAGCTAGCAAAGAAGAAAGCTAAGAGGCAGCGTCCTTTTTTGTTATGAAGTCAATATATATATTATACACCTTTTGCTTGTTTTCTTTTCTTTTCTTTTTTTCCCGAGTTCTTCTATGGCTTTTGAGTTTGTGGGCCTAAATTGCTGCTAGCCGACAACTTTGAATCTCCTTAATTGAATAGAATGAAAGTCCACAAGCTCTAGCTCCCCTTTGTCAATCTGCCCAACAATTATTATGTCAAAACCAAAACTTTGAATTGGAATTTCAACTCGACTATGATTGAACTAGGTTGAGTTGTAAAAAAAGAATTGTAGCTTTGATTCTTAGCTTTCTAATGCACTAAAACTACATTAACAAGTGAACTAGTCGTTTCAAGTAATATAATGATAAATAGAGTGTCAAACTCATGAAAATTATGATTAACTAAGTACCAAAATAATTAATCCAAATTTATTTGAACAATCAAAAAGAAAGAAACTTTAATTAAAAGTAATAAAAAGAAAATAACTATTAAAATAAAACTAACCAAGATATGAGATATTAAGCAATGTTTTCAAAACCGGACCGGTCATTGAACCGTTTTCAGGTCCGGTTTCCGGTTTGACCGGTTCAACCGGTTGAACCGGTGAACCGGCCGGTCCAAACAATAAAGAAGGTTTGATGAGAGGAGCAAGCTAT